CAATACATGTCGAAGAAACTGTTTATTTAGATGACTTTTTACGACAATAGAGTGTGTTTAGTTAATTTCGAAAATAATTTAAATTCACGGATGTGTTTATTGTTATTAGTTTCAAAGCTATGCAGTATGGAACAGTTTTAAAAGGATGAAAATAATGTTTGAATTACTAATAAAATTTCGATTAGATATCGTAATCAAACACATCGAAGATAAGATCTAAAACATTATTACAATCCGAAAAAGTATAGAATAAATCGGCAAATCAGAAAGTTCTCTGGAAAAATGTCAAAACTCGGAACATTTCCTGTAATTTCCTGAGATCTACTAACCTTGAGACAAAATGTACATATGGATATCCGTTCTTGATGGTGTGGTATCAACTCTGAATTGATGAAATGCTATCCTTTTTTATTGTATTCATTTATGTTGTGATATTTTATTATTTGTACAAAATTCTATCTCTTCATATTAAAGCCATTAGCGTAATCCTTGAGGGTTAAGAGTGGGTGGGTGTGGATATGTGATGCATAAAATACCCACACCCTCAATCACTGTCTAATGTTATAATTTGGCACTGTTGATCAATAAGATGATTGATTGATGTAAAATTATTATTAATAACTCTATTTGCCTAATAGAATATAAGAAGAGTTTTTAGTTTGTTTGCAAAAAAAGGACTTTCGAATAAAGTAGAAGAATAAACACACATGTACAACAAAAAATCGTACAAGGTGAATCCTTCTGATTTAAATTGTATTTTAATAAGATACTTCAAAATCTATAATTATTTATATCCAGATTTTTTACAAGTAACTGAGAAGATCGATATGCATTATGTATTAATAATTTGTAATTTATTTCAATAATAATTAATTCAACAGAGCAGAGTATCAAAAACTCAGAGACGATATATGTTTTTTAAACATAAATCTGCATTATATTGAAATGTTATCTTGACGGTGTGGGTGTGAGATGAAAGTATGATCCATACTCACATTTACATTCATCTTCAAGATTTAATATCTTTTTTCTGACTTTCAATTCGTTCGAATATTTTTATTCAGAAAGTTTATAATCAAGTCGAATATCTGTTCTTATATTTAATATTACTTTTTTCAAACTTCAGCTATTTTTCTTCAAGTTTTATTGAGTTTTATTTGATATGTTACTAATCATACTTTGTCTTTAATATATCTTGTTTTTCGTTCACTGGATTTGGCATTTATTTTTCTTAAATACTTTGAGCTTGATTAGTACACAACTTAAATCAGAATACAAAATGCATCCGTAAATTAATTCAATATTTTTATTTTTTTATTCATTATTACAAAGAAACAATCAACTAATTTTTACATTCGAACTATATATAGATCAGTCTACTTTCTAATGCACACATTTTCCTCTACTTTGCTATAACTTGAGTTAACAACCGCATGACTAGCGTTAGCCCACCGATATCCATACGGAGCAGGTTTTTCATTGTGTAATATTATCTGTTCTGTCTGGCGGGCAATAACGATGGGGAATTCTGCGAACATATGTTGGAAGCTCAAGAAACCGAGAGAAATACGTCCGTCGTTGGATTTATGTGATTCATCGACTGTTTGACGATAGATCGTGGCAGCTTCATGATCAAGAGTTGAGTCGACAATCTTTTCAATCACATCCCATTCGTTCTCGTTGGCACCTAAATCGAATGGATATTGGTCGTGAATGGTGAAGAAGTTCATGATGGCTGCTGAAAAATTAAGAGTAGAGAGCTCATTTTTGACATACATGTCATATTCAGGACATGATTCATTATGGATTCCATTTTGATTATCGTCGCCCATCCGAATATGAAAATCACTCATACTGCCAGCAATAGAATTTGATATGATAATTACATGAGGTTGACGAGCCCAACCGTCAAGAAGAACTGAGTTGAGAGACACCGGAGTAACGTCAAACCAATCGACATTGCCGTGATCAACGATCTTAGCATTATTTTGACGTACAGCTTCAATATAGTGACGAACTGCAGTAGGTTTGACGGAGATGCGATAAAATGCGTTGTGATAGCCTAATAAAAGATACAAAGAAATTAAATATCACATCAAACGCTCTGTGATGGACTATGTAGAATTATTTCTATATTTTCTCGTTCTGACTGTAATATGCTTCTTTTCGTATAACAATATTTAAATATAGAAATGATTAATTGATCTATTGCTCTCGGTCTCGTACATGTCATCTATTCAATTATTATACCTTTCAGTTTGAAGTCTGAAAATATGTCAAACAATTCCAAATGTCTCTCACACAATTACTTTTCATTCTTGCCTAATGTTGAACTCGATACTTGAGAATTCTATCTGAACATTTTGAGATATTCTAGTCAGATAGTAAGAAGAAAAAACAAAATAAAGGTAAATATACCTTGAGTACAGAAACGACGAACCACAAGAAAAATTGGAATGTTTGTGACGAGCCATTCAAAACGTATGACGAGAAGAGATGGATATGCTGGTATACAACGAAGTTTTCGTACTGAAAGTCGAGTACTACTTTGAAGAAGTCTGTAAACACAAATCATGAAAAAAACGCATTACATGATGAATATAACTCACCTTTGAATGGGCTCTCCAAGACCTATTTCATCCGATAATCTACTTATCCAATCAGAAGTAAGTTCTGTTACATATATTTGCATGTTCTCCATCTCATTAATGAGTGTTGTGCGAGAGGGTAGATCATGATGAGTGATGAGGTTTGTCAAGAGATCGAGCTGATCAAGTTGCTTCTTGTTCTCAGAAAAAACAACTAGAGGATCAAGTCGGTATGAGATATGAGTGGCACCAGGCTCAAGAGTTGCCGTCTTATAGAGTGACAAGAGACGACATGACGATAGAAATCGAGTTACCATACGGTAGTCGGACAAGTTCCATTTGTCACCTGTCACTTTTCGATTTTGATGTCCGATAGTTGGATTAGTATCAATTGATTTCTCATCTTTGCTATATGAGTTGATTTTAGATGATTGATTGTCAAGTATTTTGAACAAAGATGTGCATCCAATACGATCAAACAGATCATCGAGTGAAATTAACGAAGAGAAACCTAACGATCGAACGACACCATGCGCTCGATGAATATCGGAGTACATAGTGATAATATTACTCTTAATATTCTTCAATGCTTCGATGGCATCATGAATCCATTCACGTCTTTTTGACTCGCGATAATACCATGTAAGACTCAAAAGCATCTGAGCTCGTAGATGACAACTACAATCGCCAACATGAGCATCGAACTCTGCTAGTATATCATTGGTTTCTGTCATGTCGTCTGAATAAATTGTATTGAATCGGGTGAGAGCAGCATCTAAGTCATGAACACCGTAAAGGAGTCGGACTAGTGTCTTGGATAGTTCTTTGCTTTTGATTTTTTTGTTGGTTGATTCGAAAAGAATGGTTGTCATTTTGATGAGAGTAGTTAAGAGAATAAAATAAGCGATCGTTTGAATATCTAAAAAGAACAAACTACGATATTGTGTATGACTAGTCGATTATGATAAGAGTTGTTTTAATTTAGCTCCTGCTATATCAAATCTCATTACAAACTATTTATATACAAAAAAAAAAGCAATGGGAATAAATCCTGAAGAACAAAACTCCATAAATGGCTTTGTTTTCTGTCTGATGACGTCAAATGCAAAAACGTGCAGATGTATGCATGTTGGAAGAAAACAAAATCATGCGTGCACTTGATTTACTCAGAGTTGATGTGATTCATACAGATTTTTTTTAAAAAGTGAGTGCAAAGATAAAATTCATTTATTTGAAGTGAAACGAATGAATCTCTGCAAACATCAAAGCACATATATATATATATATATGGGTTTCTAATACAGAAATCAGTTTGTTCACCCTTCATTTTAAGCGTACTTCAAATAACCAAAATTCTACAAATTTAACATCTTTGCACTATTCTTTCAGTGTAAAGTTCATAGAAATCGAATTAGCGTATAATAGTTTTTTTCTTTTTGATTATATATCCAATAATTCTGAAAATTAACTCTATATAGTAGTGATAATTGTCATTTATGTCTATTAATCTCTTTTGATTTCCAGTATAGAAATCAGTTTGCTTCTCCGTGTTAAACAACAATACTTGACCATAAACTGATGACTCAGGAATTCTGATCATGCGTGAATGACTCAATAATGTATGCATGACTTAAGAGAATGGATGAAAGAGAATAATGTATGATGACTGAAAGCCATAGTAACGACGATGCACACTTTTTTTAATCGGTCTGGTGAGTTGTTTTTAACAGAACAGAGTAGGTATGGAGTGTGGTAATGTATAAAATGATAAGTTAGAAGAGTTAGGAAGTAAGCAGGGTGCAGGTATGATTAAAAGAACATAGACACACACATCCACTCAGGAGACTTCAATTTTGATTTTGTATTTTGAAATGTCACAGGAAAAAATGATTAAGAACAACAACTATTTTTACTAACTAAATTTTACTGGAAAGAATATCAAGGATTTTAGAAACCTTGAAAGTCTTTTTTCAGTTTTCATTTTTTTATCTCATTTTCCAATAAAATTTTAAATGAAAATAAGTTGATTTATGTTTTTTCACTTATTATGAAACTTGATTAAAAACTGATTTTCGTTTGAAATAGAATGAAATTGTCATATCTTCATCTTTTAAGAATAAAAAACTTGGTTATAATCGATTTGAATTTTGGTTTGACTTGAAGTTTTAAAAAATGACATGATTTGTCTGTTTCTGATTAAAATCTATTGGCACTGTTATTTTTGTTCGATGATGGTTTTGATCATGTATACCAATAAATTCACATTTTTCACATAAATTCATTCCACAATAGCACTCGTAGAGAATACTAATAATTGGATTTATAAGACATGAATCGCATTTAATTCCGTCATGGCATAATCGACTACGATTAGACATGTACACTGAACGTTGATATACACTTGGATCTTTAATACACAATAATAGATGATCTGAATCATGATTTGGTTTGCTAGTAGATTTACGTAATTCACAAAAATCAATATCCGGACAAAATAAACACTCTTATACCGATCTCCTTTGATTGGTAACTTTTTACATTCAGATGGATGGTAGCATTAGCAGTAGCGGCTCTAATAGCTTGACGAGTTTGTTGTTGAATTATTGTTGATTTACTCATATTGTTATTTGATGAATAAAGATGAAAATCTTCAGTCTAGAACATACTATCATATTATTAAATATGAATAATACAAGGGTGTCGGTGTGGATGAACGACGAATCATATACCAATATCCACCCACACCCACACCCTCAAGATGGGCGTGATGAATAGATATTTACTATTCTCAAAGTATATTCATTCTATACTATATTTAGATTAAGAAAAAAATATATGATTTTTAACCAGATTCTTCTACATAGTTATATGTATTACAATAAAAAGATCATTCATTCAAGTTTCCCAATAATCTAATAAAAAATATATCTCAATTTTTGTCTTACTGCCACTCCCTGATGAAATATTTGTTGTACCCGTAGAGTCTCTGTTAAAGATTCTGTGTGCTTTCTTCCCACATTACATAAATGAATTCATTGCAATATATTATTTATCTTTGTAATAAAGTAGCAGATGTTCTTATAAGATAAAAATAACTTTATTCGCAATAGACCTGTCAATCAATTTTCTTATCTCATATTTTTAAGGAAACAGAAGTCACTCACATCTACGAAGTTTATAAAAGGAAGCGCTCTTCTTAGAGACTGTTTTCCATAACTCCAACAATAATATGTGGTCACCTTCACCATATATATTAAAATTAGCCGCTATATTTAAATATACTAACATATATGGATTTGGCTTCCTCTTAATCACTGGACTAATAGGTAATTCATTTAATATTCTCTTATTTATTCCTAAATTAAAAGATAATCCATGTCCCTATTACCTAATTATAACAAACATTTTCGATTGTTTCGCAATACTGGTACATATACTTCCAACTATGATTGGCAATGTATATATGAACGATGGCACGAAATCATCTATTGTTTGGTGCAAACTGAAACCATATTTAACGGATGTATTTACCACAACTTCAATGTTAATAATGTGCTTAGCATCTATCGACAGATTTCTGTTGACCTCTCGTCGTGCACGTTATCGTCATTGGAGTACCCTTAAAGTGGCAAAAATTTGTATGCTACTGGTAACACTCTTCTCGTGCGTAATTCATATACCTGATTTAATTTATATTAGTATTGTTCCTAGACCGCTGTGTTTAGCAGACGGAAAGTTTTATTTTAATTATCAAAGTTACTTTATAAATCCTGTTTTACGAATGCTATTACCACTTTGCGTTTTATCGATAATTGGATTTAAAACCTATCGAAACATTCGGTCACTAGGCGTCAGACCACTGCAAAGAAATTCTTTACAACTTGCGACACTTACTCAATTACAAGACAGGCAGCCGCTCGATAGAGCAAGTGTTCAATTAACGAACATGTTGCTTCTGCAAGTTCTCTATTTATTCATAATAACTTTAATCTGGTCCGCGAACTCCCTGTACCATACTATTAAATCTGCAATGAAGCGACCGATAACTGACGAGAGTTATGTGATTGATCAATTAATCGCAACAGTTGCAAATCTGATCTATTATTCATATACAAGCAGTACATTTTACATATACTATTTTTGTCTATCGTCCTATCGAACTAGAGTTAAGAGCATGTTTATGAAACTACTGTTCTTTAGACAATGAAATGCTGATACTCCCGTTGCAACTACTATTTCGCCAATACTAAACTCTTAAAACTATTGTAATGGAATTAGCAAGCATTGTAAAAAGACATATATTTATCCATGAGTGATCTTTTTGATTCTATTAGTTCAAAGATAAAACTTATTTTACTCTCTGTTTGTTTCAGCAAATGCTGTCTGCACGATTGAGACGACTGTTTTCTTTGTCGTGTTCATTATATGAATAAATGAATATGAGGAGCAAAGTTTGTAAATGCTTACGCGGTTCTTTTCTTTAGAGTGGCAGGCGAATGTGAATAAGAGATCAGCATTCTCACGCTCAATTAATTAGTAAGATATGAAACAGTGTAATAACAATTTCTTATAAGTTATTCTTCTTTTATTACAGAGAATACTCTCGTAAAGAATTAGAAATGTAAATATATCTGAGAAGATCATTTATACATATTTTTATGTGTGCGTATTATCTTATCAATCGCCTTCGTTCATTACGTTTTAATTATTTATAAAGTTGTTTTCTGTATGCACGTGCGAGACACAAAAAAGTAGGATTAGTTCAAACATAAGTGAATACTAAATTCTTGTATTTATTTATCAAATATTCTTTATAACTTCTCTTACAACTTCAATACTTTCCATCGTAGTTTTTATATCAGGATGAGTTGGAGGTAATACACGTTGTCTGATGTCCAGAGCATGCTCATAATATGAAAGTGCTTTTGAATAGTCTTTCATATTTCTGTAAACCGTACCAATGCTGTGGTATGAAGTAGCCAACAAAGGATGATTTGAAGGAAGAGTTTTTTGCCAAATTTCAAGTGCTTTTTCGAAAAATGAAAGAGCCTTCGAATAGTCTTTCGTATTGTAATACACACTACCGATGTTGTTGTATGACTGCGCGAAATGAGGATGATTTGAACGAAGAGTTTTTTGACAAATTCCAAATGCTTTTTCATGCGCTGAAAGTGCTTTCGAGTACTCCACCATTTTGTTATACGCCAAGCCGATGCTGTTGTATGAAGTAGCTAATGAGGGATGATTTGAAGGAAGAGTTTTTTTTTGAATTTCAAGTGCTTGTTCGTGAGACGAAAGCGCTTTCGAGTACTCTCCCATGTTGTAATACACACTACCGGTGTTATTGTGTGAAATAGCCAAATAAGGATGATTTGATGGAAGAGTGTTTTGTTGAATTTCAAGTGATTTTTCATAAAAAGAAATTGCTTTCGAGTACTTTCCCATCCGGTTATATACACTACCAATATTGTTGTATGAAGAAGCCAATGAGGGATGATTTGCAGGAAGAGTTTTTTGTCGAATTTCAAGTGCTTTTTCGTAATATGAAAGCGCTTTCGAGTACTCTCCCATGTTATAATACACCAAACCGATATTGTTGTATAAAGTAGCCAAATAAAGATGATTTAAGGGAAGAGTTTTTTGTTGAATTTCTAGTCCTTGTTTGAAATACCAAATAGCCTTTTCATAATCTTCTTGATTCGAATTGATAAATCCCAGTTGATTATAATAAGTCGCTTGTCCATCCTCATCAGATGTCTGTTCGAGTAATACATTATAAAGTTCTTCAGCTTTATCTAATTGTCCGATTTTAAGCAATAAGTTACCTAAACTTTTCCATCCAGTACTATCACCAACTTCTTCTCGTATCCGATCAGTAAGTACTCGTAGTTGTTGATCATCATCCGAAGTTAATTCTAATTCAACTTGATAAAGTTGATTCTCGTTGTCTACTTGTTTAATTGCACCGACTCGAAAGACGGTGTGCATTGAAAAGAGAATTTCTTCTTCTTCGTTATAATAACTTGTCTGTTTGATGGAAGCAAATGGCACTGATTTAACACGAGGGTCAATTAACATCTTGAAAAGAATGCCTATCATGTCCACATTGTCTGACGCGCTGTTAGCAAATACTAGGGAGATGTTTTTTTTCGTACTAGTAGATAAAAAGTTATTAAAGGATAGTAAAGCACCGTTTGTTTTTTGTAGTTTTTCGAAATTTGCTTTGGATAGACCTTGTCCTCGGTAAACTATGAATGGTTTATCGTGATGACTACTAAGTTGTTGTTGGTGTAGTTGCTGGATTTGTTGATGAAGGTCATGAATGAAAAAGCCCATATTAATAATTATTTCGGCTTCCATAGAGCGAAGAGCATAATTCAGCATAGAATAGATAAATGAAGAAGAAGTATACCACCAAATAGCTGATTGAGGATGGTATTCGTTTTCAAATTGATCAATATTCGTTGTCAATCCAGAGTTAGTTCGTCGGCAGTAAGCAGTAAACTCTTTGATAGCCTGTTTATTATGTTCCATATCAAGAAGAATTTCCTTGAATATTTGAGTATACATAAATGTTGGTTCCAACTGATTTAAATTGTCAGTTGAAGTCATTTCATCTACCGTGATAAAACTCATGGCGATCGAATCTTGATTGCATTTCTTGATATCCAGTTGTAATGCTTTGCATAAGTCATCGATGTTGGTATAAACGCTTCTGATTTTTCGCCATTTTGTTGTCCATTCTTCATGTTGGCATTTAATTTTACTGAAGATATAAACACTATGCAATTGTTGGATATTGTCAATGAGGGGCATTATTTGTTGAACCGTAGCATTCTCGACAACAAGAAAAGACTTGATGTTTTTTTCAGCATCTGTAAGAAAGTCAATACATTCGTCTCGCTGCTTAAAGATATTAACATTGTCAGTATTGGTTTTTAATTGTGCCAAAATATTTTGATATTCTTGATTTGCTTCATCCATACACTCATCTAAATAGAGAAGCGAATAATTTCCACCCATCCGTCGCCTTGGTTGAATAGCATCCGATGGTGTTTTGGTCGTGTTTAATGATAAAGAAACTTTTGGATTAGATTCTGATCCACTCATTTGGTCCTTTTTATAGTTTGATGCTAAATATAAACTTAGTAATAATTGTTGTTTTCTAAATGGTAAGAAGACTCACAACTTCTATTTATAACAGCAATGGCGTATTTTTGCAATCTTTTTTAGCTTGCCTCAACTAGTTCCTTTTTAAATCACTGTTGTGAAGAGCAAGAAACGGATCAATACAAACAAATTTCTTAATAACGTTCGTGACAAAACGAAATGATTTCGTTTTATATTTATTCTTTCCAACATTTTTATCCTTATCTATGCGATTATTTCATAATTGAATATGCCACCGATACTTTATCATTGAAATGGAATTAAAATAGAAACATGACCTATTCAGTTAATGTTGTTCCTCTTTCTCATACATCGTTTTGTTGTTAAGTGATTACGAGAAATTTATGAGAACGAAAGAACTGTATCAATGAACAAGAAATAGCTATTGATTTAAGAATATCGTAGGAGCTTTGTTTTTTCTGTTCGAACAAGAGGGTGTGGGTGTGAGATTGGTTGTAGGTCACCATGATTCATTTAAAAGGACAGTCACCTACACCCTCATCTAACTGAAATATGTGTTTGAAAACGAAGGCTTACATTTAAAGAAATTACAACAATGTTTAAACAAAAGACAACTTTAGTGAGCGTCGATTTTGACAAATATTAGCATAGTGCTCAAGTCTTTGTATCGACAATGCGACTTGCACATCTAATTTGGATTTATTTTTTTAGAGAATCTTTTATCTATAATAAAATGATATCATTTCGAATATATAAATGTCTTCGAATAGAAAGAAATGATAAGTCCCTGATGAAGAATAACAAAAAAATTTAGATTGATTTATCGTAATATTTTTGATACGTTAATTATATCGAACTATTCGACACCTATATCCTATTCCTCCTCCATCTTTCCAAGTAGAGGCTTCACAATTTTGAAATAATGAATAACGCTGTTTAATATCATTGATGGATATTGAACATTCATTATAATAAGTAATAACACAATCTAATGTTTTTAATTTTGGACAGTTTGATAGGATACGATTTAACTTATCAACTATCCTTACTAATGAATCAGGGTCAGAAACAAATAGAAGTGTGCGTTGTAAATTTGGTAAATATTTATATAGTTCTATTAATGTCTCCAAACTCGTGTTTGAATGATAATAACTGCTTGATGGTATTTCATAATACATTGTCAATGTTATACCTGTTAATGATAAATTTGGTTTTTTCATTCCTGTTCCATTATCTATACCAAATTTGCATTCAAAATACTTAAGATTTGGTAAATTTTCAAGTAACGAATAAAATACCGATTTGTTACAGCAGCCAATTGTAAGATACTTTAAACTAGTTGACCATGTTTTTACTGAAGATTCATATCCTCTATTAGCATATGGCAAATGCACGGTTCGTAACACTGAAAACTCATTACCAAATATCATTTTACACAATTGTGGATATCTACTTGAACCTGTCTGAATATGAATTATTAACTGCCTTAAATGTGGAAACACTGATGGTTTGACATGTTTCAAGTCAGGATGGTCATACATAATATTAGTATAACCTCGACGTGTGTGAAATTCTAATTCACGAAGATTGACGCATTTATTTAATTTTGAATATCGAAATTCTTGTTCATTCATATGAAAAGAAAATATTTGTTGTGGATGAATATATGGAAGAATCCTTTGACGATGTTCTTCGTCTAATTCATTATGAAAGTAAATCCGTGTTTGATTAACAAGACGGTTGAGACGTGAATTTAAATTATAAAAGCCACGAAATAAATCGAATTTGTTCGTATATCGAAATATTTGTACAAAGACTTCGTCAGGAAAAATAAGAGCAGTTAATATTAACGATCTTTATCTTTATGATTCGATTTATATTGTCTATAAAAGATTTTTCATTGATTCCGTACTGATAATAAACATTTCTAGAGGATTCAAATACAACAAGAACTAACTTCAATCTTGTAGCATCTCTGTCATATTTAATTTTGAGAATGTGGGTGAGGGTAGAAGGATTATATTGCATGACCACATACACCCTCAAGATGGATCTATAGAACACGCATTACATCTTTACAAGTCGAATAACAAATCTTTGTTAATACATCTTTTTTATTACTTCAGTATGGTTTTATATTATCATTAAATAGAAGAAAAAGAAAAAAGAACAATAAAATCTCTCGAGAATAAGACATGATCGATGATGAATTACGAGAAATTTTATCAAGAAACATCTTAACACTTGTATGTACTTTATTAATAGCTTCTACATTGTATGGATCTGAATAATTAGCACCCATTGATACAAAACCATGTGTCATGCTTGAATATGTCTCATATTGACATTGGCTAGATACTCTTGAACTTGTCGATTGTTCTATAACAGTCGAAATATTGGGTTGCAATGGTGGATCATCACCAGCAGCTATAAAAAAGACTGGTTGTTGTAAATTATTAACCTCCTCTTCTGTCAACCATGCACCATGAACAGAAATACCAGTAAAAAAGAGATTCGATAGATTCGAACAAGCACGAGCAACTTGTAGACCACCCCAACAGAAACCGATGACTGCAATACGACGAGATGATGATGACGTATTTCGAAGCCAAGAAGCAATATTTATCAAATCAATTGATACTTGAGACCAATTACCAACTTGAGCAACCCATGCTATTAAATGAGGTGTTGTTACTGATGCCGATTGACCACGATAAAAATCTGGCATAACAACTTGAACTTCATATTCAGCAGCAAGTCGATCACAAAATACACGTGTTTGACTTATATTAAATCCAAAAATATCATAAAAAACAATTATAGATAAATCTTTTAATGAATTTGTATCACTACCAACTGTATAAACATCCATATCTTCTACACGAACAACGTGGCCTTTAGCATAAGTATCATTCCATAAACCGATTGATTGACATTCTAAAAGAAAAATACTCTTGTCTAAATCATTTTTTTAACATATGAACTTACTTAAAAAATATAATAATAGAATTAATAAATAGAAAATTTTCATTTTTTTTAGTTGCTTTTTTCAACAATACACGATAAGAGACCACACGAGTAAAAAACCTATTTATAAAATACTTGTAAAATGCATCATCACTATATAATAAGGCAGAACACGAAAAACAAATGCACAACAATAAAATCATTGATATTTGATAACTATTTTAATTCAACGCAAATGTCACTCGTATCATCGCCAAGATTAATTGTAGCGAACGTCTCTTTTTTTAAACATTATCGATCAAATAGAATTCCAATTAGTATAACGGTGAATTTATTGACTAATTACACAAATCTTTGATTATTTAAAACAAGAATCATATGTTTTCTTATTTGACCCAAAAGATAAATTTATTTTCAATAACAAAAAAACAAAAACATTTATTCTTTGAAGAATTTTAGACTATGTATAGCATGGTCAAGTTTATCCTTGACGGTAATATTGTTATACGTTAGTACAAAGATGAAAAAATAATCATTTTCCGCATTTGTAGCATAATGAGTTTCTCTATACGTCGGTAAATTTGGCGCATTGATGATCAATTCTTGCATAAAATATATTTTTTTATTTAGTATAACGTCATGACAATCAATACTGATAATTGAATTGTACTTGGTAATAGAAAAAGTATCCCTCCATTCAAATAAAGCATCACAATCGTTTTCAATACGCATTTTACGAGTGTTATTCACAATCCATCCAACCATTCTTGTACTGGCGTTCTTTTTTGTTATCTCAGACGGATCTTCTATAAAAACAAAAATTGGTGTTATTTCCTGTTTTATACTTTTTATCCATGGATCAACTGAGCTATTATGATAAGGTATATTTTCAATAATCGAATCTTCGAATGCCCACCGTATTTCCGCTGATGTCATTGAATACCATCCATCAGGTTTATTTATTGATAAACCAAAGATATTATTTTCATAATAAGTGTCATTCGTGTTCTGAATATTGGATGATGTAATATTACGTCTGTTTGAAGAATAAGCTTAAAAACGAAGAAAATGATTTTGAGAAAAGGAAAAAGATTAGTTTTTTGTTTAACTTACCTATGGAATTAGTGCTTTCAATTTGTATCAATAAATGAATTATCGAAAGTATAAACCATTGAAATATCATTTTGGATTATTCTATGATCAACTAATCATTCGAATGGATATTTATATACGTGTGTATTATAGTTGAACAATTTGTCACACTATATAAATGAACAGACAAATCATCTTAAAGAAAAATTAGTGATAGAGAATTTCGATGAATGAGTAATTCATTACAAAATTATTTTTCAATGAAGAATGAATATTGGTGTTTCCTTGAAAATTTATTTATATATATCCAGTCCCATTCATCGAATAGTGACAAAAGAAAATGGTCAATATCAACACAATCGTCTCGCTCATGTTTCTATATGGAATTGCTGTCGCCACTGATCGAACACTAAATGGTATGATTCGGTCGTTTTTTGATCAGAACTTCTACTAATAATGAATATTATTGTGAATTATTTTGTTAATATATAATTTCTATAAGATGAAGATGAATTAAATTGATATAAATATTTGTTTGTTTTCATAGATTTTTCGAAAGATCAAAATGACTCATCATCGATTACTCCAGATAAGAGCAGCGGGAAAATAGATAATGAACTACAAAGTTGTTTAGAAAAAAATAATTATGCTACTGTTATGATCGAAGTCTTTAATCCAACAGATCCATTGAAAGAACTTCCCAAAGATTTTGATAAACTAGACCGTGGGACGAAAGCGACACTCTTGGCACAACTCTTTATGGAACATGTTGATAGATTACAAAAAACCTATTCGTGATTTTCTACGTAAACGACCGCAAGATTATGAAGGAGAGCCAGTGTATTTTTGGATGGATAATACGATATATGTGAAAAATGCAACAAAAAATCTTATTAAAGACTTAGCTAAAATTGCTGAAATTCGAACAATTCGTCTTGAAGACCATTCAGTAACACTAGATGTTAGAAATATTCAACATATATTTCAAATAGATATTTGATTAGTACTTCTTTAATATTGATTTGTTTGTATTTTTTATTTACTACAGAATAAAAAAGCTTATCAGCGCAGCCCCGTTGGGGCTAAAAATGTGGAA